ACAGGTCCATTCTGTGCTAAACAAAAAAAAAAGATATCTACTAAACAAACACAAAATTAATGGCAGAATACAGAGTCACAAAAGCAAGCACTGACAGAACACTTAAAACAACTTTGAATCCTTTCAGAGCTTATGTAGTCAAGTTAATAATTGATAGGCAGGATAAAAGTTATTTAAAAACAAATTATGTATTTAAGAATATAATTTGTTACGTTTCTCCCTTCTAGGAAGTATGATAAAGATTTAACAATAAATACATGGTGGGCAGGGGGTTCCTGTTTGTTGAGGTATCTGTTAATAAAGGTCTAATAAAAGGAAAGCTTCATATTCTGATTTTGAATGGGGATTTATATAGCTTTTTATATAGCTTAGAGAACTAATGTATAGGCAGTGGAAGACATAATGTTAAAGGCAGGTATAGGGTTTACATCTCAGTAAAGGGCTTATTTTGTTCCTCAGCTCCACCTGAGTATTTAAGGGGATGGTCCCAATAAACCAATTCACCTAACCATGAGCAGAAGTAGGTAGGTTGTGTAATCTTAACCTGAGGAAAAATTATGATGAAATTTTCATTTTACGCTTTAATTATCCCACTTTTACAATAATCCTTTCTGATATTTTTAGCTAGTGCTTCTGCACACTTCCATTTTTACAGGGTTAAACAGGGTTATGGTAAGACATGAATACGGCACTATAGAAACTGCAATGTTGAAAAAAATGTGCCATGAATCATTTTTCTACCAACATTTTTTTTTTCTCTAAGCCGCCCCCAACACCCACACAGACATATACCAAGTTAACACAAACCTCTGCATACACTTTGACTCAAAGGAACACTGTATGGTTTCAATATTTTATGTCTACAGCATTTAAAATATTAAAAAAATCTTTTACATTCTCTTTGTTTCAATTAGCCCCTTTACTTTGACTACCTTATGCCTAAACAACACCCTTAAAATGTCTCATAAGCCGAATGTGATAGATATCTTGTATGATATAGATTAAAACACAACATATAGTGATGTTTTTGATACATGACACATTTAAATGTGCATTTGCCTGGTCGTCTGTGTTGGTCCAGGGTGTATTTTTGCAGCTTCCGCCTCCTTAAACAAGATAAAATGATTCACAGAAAAATAGCTGGAGGGAAGGTAGCAAATTTATTCAAGGACAGTAAGGAAAGAGTATATTCTACCATCCATCTGCACAAATATGGAATAGTAAGGATCATTTCATAACAGCTATTGAACGGTTACATTTTTAATTACGATGTTGGTTGATGCAATCTTCAACCATAGCTAGTAACTGTAGCAACTTACTTAATCATTTTGCAAATTACTTTGGCCAAAAAATCCGACCGCAACATTTTGCTGATGAAGATTCTCAGTCATTCAGGTCATCGTCATTCCGTAAAAGTTTTTAAAAAAACTATCCACTGGACTTGGTTTCCAAGATTTGAAGACTTTTCGCTTCCCCTCCAGGAAGCTTTCTCAATTCAAATGTATGAGATTTGACCTGACCTGAAAATTTTATTTACAGTTTAATGTAAGATTCCATTCCAACTCTAGAATCTAACTGCTTGTGGTGTCCAGCACAGACCACTTATGTTTATATGGATTACATCAGGATTGAGTGTATTGCTCAGATATAAAAAGATGTGCACTGAAGTGAAGAGATTAACACATACTGTTTTATCATCATAGCTGCTGAGTTACTGAGTGGGATTTATAAAAGAGCACTTGTTTTTTGTTTTTTTGTCCTTACTGTGCTAGTGTCGGGCAAACTGGGCAAGCATGATGTATTTGGTCAATTTGACAAGGGCAAAATTTGGATACCTAGACAGTAAAGTCAGAGCCCTTGCAAAACTGCAGATGTTCTTGGGCTCCACAAGTCTACAGCAAGATTGCATAGGGTCTAAGGTGGAGTTTGTTCAGTGATGAGGCTGGGGATCTTAATGCTGGACTCACCTCGACTATTGTTTGGCTGTGGTGCAGGCTGGGCAAGAAACTGCAAGAATAAAATCAGTGTGAACTCTCACATTAGCCATGTTGCAGTGTGAGTGTTGTTACGGAGGTTTTGCTGCTCAGTGGAACAGTTCTTGGAGTGAACCACGTACTTATTTTGGCTTGTCAAGTATAAACAGCATAGCAAAACAGTAGTACAAAAACAGAGGGGCTGTTGGAGGATAAAATATATTGATGAGCACAGATAACAAACTCTCAGAAACAACATGAACCTATGTGAACTTCGGTTCTCACAAGCTCTGTTTCCTGAGCCGATGCGCAGTACCAGGACCACTCCAGGACCATAGATAGTGTGAGCCCTGCGTAACCTCTGGTGCTATGCATACTTGTACGTTTAAATGATTCATATTCATTCATATTGAGTTTTTCTTTGCCCAACTATTTTGTGTTTTGCTTTGCTTTTCTTCTTGTCTTGTTGCACACATCATGACGCTAACCTGGAGCTTTTGTGGACAACCTTATTTCGATTTTCAGTTTATACGGCATCTGAGCTTATTGTGCATTCAAAAAACAAGCTGGTAGCTTAGCTAACTCAACTTTATCGCCTCCTATTGAACTGTCTAAACTTCCCAATAAGTTAAGGAAGGAAACGCATGGGACGTGAGCTGTGAAAAGGTGTCCAAACTGGAAAAGAGGACAAAAACTCTATTATCCCGTCTGTTAACACTGAAAATATATATCTTACCTTAAAGACTCGTAGTGTGAGCCTGCCTTTAACTGAGTAATATAACTAATTCCTCGTTCATGTTTTTTTTACCTTATTTTTCATCACGACAAGCTACTACAACTTGGTTAGTAAAAGCGACAGATTCACTGCTTGCATGGAAGGACTGTTTTGTGTTTTGTCCAGAGACGGAGCAAATACTACAAGATGCACATTGGCTGAGGAGCCGTAATGTTGACAGGTGCTTAGCATGCATTAATTGGTTACCCAGGCTGAAATTAGAGATGCAAGGCAATGTCAGAGAGCCATCCAGATTTAGTGATAGCACTGCTAAACTAAAAGCTTTTGCTTTTTAACATTTTATATTTATTAACTGAACTACCAGGTTTGTTTGAAGATCTAGTCATAGAAAAGGTTTCCAAATTCATCAACATTTTAGATCCTAAACAGTAACTGCCAAGTTCTTGGGAGAATTAAAAGGCAACTATGACAAGTTACTGTTTTGAGTAACATGCCCCACAATGCCTTTGTCAACGAGCTTTAATAATATCTCCTGTCCTAAACTGTCTTTAGGATATGTCTTTCAGGAAATCATTAACAGCATTAAGGGCAATAAATCACTTGACTCATTACAGACCAATTGCAAGCCATAGAGCACACAACCTCTCCCACCTCTGGTGACCTCAGATCATAACCTGGTTCACATCCAAGCATTGCATAAACCCAGACATAGACAAAGATGTAAGTGTAACATACACAGTGAGGGGTTGTCTGAGGAGACCAGAGAAGCTCTGAAGGACAGTTCTACTTCCATTGTGTGGAAGAGTTATGTTCTCCTCATTGTCAAGACATTAAAGTCTTACAGATTGCATCCAAAGCTACATCAACTTCTTTGAAGACAGCATCCCTCAAAAAGGCAATGTTTTTATTCCACAATAAGCCATAGATCAACCCTGAAATAAAGGCTCTACACACTTTGGAGCCATTAGAAAGGAAACAACGATGATCTTAGAGCTGTGCAAAAAACTAAGAAAAATACTGAGGATAGAAAATAACAGCAACAAAACAATGCAGGTCAAAAACCAAACTTTCAGGTTATATAATACTTAGACTGACAAAATTACCTGAATCAGTTTCCTTCTAAGATATAATGCACATCGATCATATGGTTTAGTGTCTCTAACATACTGGTCTGCAGCAGGTGGGCTCCACTATGAACTAAGCTGGCATAATTCTTGTTCATCCTCTACACAGCAGACTTCAATCAATTCCCCTGGCTGCCACCTTTAGACGTTATGTGATGACTTTGCTATAATCAGTCTCATCACAGTTGAGGATGTATAAGAGTAATAAGGGTGGACACAGGACTCTGTGGACCGGTGTAAGTGGAATCACCTCTTGAGATGGTAGTGGATTTCTGCAGGCTCAGACCCACCACTCTGACACCAGTGAAAATCCAGGGAACCGATGTTGAGATGTTGGACTCATAGAAAAACCCGAGTAATCCCATGAACGCAGAACTGGACTGGAATTCCAACAATGAACCTCTTAACAAGAAGGGTCTAAGCAGTCTAAGGAGAATAAGATCTTTTGGAGTTAAGGATCTGCTCCTGAACACCTTTTTTTACGTTGTGTTGGTATCAGTCATTCTCTATGGTACAGTTTGTTGGATCAGCAGTTTATCTATAACAGAAAAGAGAAAGAAACTCATTCGGAGGGCCAGTTCTGTTCTTGGATGCCCCACAAACACTGTGCAGGTTGTGGTAGGCAGATGGAGTTTGGCAAAATGACATCCCTCCTGGACAGTGTCCCCAAGCTTGAAGTGCAGTGAACAACCGCTGGTTCCTAGGTATTTAAGAGCCTTATCTCAGATCCTTTCCCCAACTAGCTGTTAGACTTTATAACCATTAATTTTCCAAGCAAGTTATTTAAGTTTGTTTACATCTGCCCTGCTATTTTTCATGTCTTTTTTCTCAATGAGTTTTTATGTCCAGAGAGGCACGTTTTGTGGATTTGTTGTGACGCTCATTTGATTTAAACTGAGAATGCAAGGATTACCAGGAAAATGCCATTATGGAAAGCTCCCAATTTTTTCTGATATTATCTGTATTTATATAATCAAGAAACAATAAGGAGATGGATAAAATCAATAAGAGTAAAAAGAGAGATTTTTACCCACTATCTCTCTCCCCTTAGCTAGTGCTCACAGGAGTTCATCGCTTTGCTTTAAGAAAGGGCTTAAAATGCAGGCAGCTTAAGAAAAAACATAAAAAAGAGGGAGGAGGGGGTAAAAGCCTGACAGATGAGTGGAGTGAAGCACAGCACAGAGGGAGTGGCTCAAAAACGGCTGGAGCAAGCTCTTTGGTGAGGGGGGGAGTAGAAAATTCAAGAGAGTCTGCTTAAACCACAAACCAGAGATAGAAGTGAAAGCTTCTGAGGAGACGGGAGAGTTGGGTAGAAGCCTTGAGAGAGAGAAGACCTGTGGAGGAAGGAGACAGGCTGAAAAATTGAGTGGACTGGTAACTCTGAGGGGGCTGTTTGATCAAGCCGTTTCCCCTGTGGCAACATGGGAGCAGTTGTGGGCACTTTGACCATGCAAACCAAACAGAGGAGACCATCAAGAGGTATGTCAAGACTTATCAGAAAGAGATAGAGGAAAGATAAAAGCTTCTGAAAGCATTGAACAATATGAACTAGTCATTTGGACATATTGATCTGATTTTAATTGTGAAAAGGATGGGAATGTTTATCAAACAGCAGAAGTGATTATCAATATTTCTTTAGTAATTTTAAACAGTTGCATTTGTCATTGTTTTACCAAGAAAAGCATGAAGAAAAAGGTGAAAAAAAATGTTTTTGAAAGAGGCAGGTGTAGTCACAGAGCAACACTGGCTGCAGATGTGTTATGATCGAAGTGATTGAAGTCTTCGCCTGATGTATGAGTTGTGATAATGATGGTGGAAATGAGAGTACAGGATGCCAAGATGTCCTTGACAATCACAACACACTCCCCCCAGACTCTGTGATTCTGCATGTGTTCCCGCCAGTCAAACGTGTCAGTGAGTGTGTGCGAGTGAAAGAGAAACATGCAGCGAAGCAAATGAGAGTTCAGGCTCGTGAATTAACAGGCAGGTCACATATCATACCTCTCCCTGGCCTTATGCTTGAGAAACTCGTTGTCATGGAGACTGGGTTGTAAAAAGGCACAAAGGAGAGTGCAAACACACAAGCTTCACTGACAATGATGTTCAGTGCAAAGATCAGGGTTAGAATAAGTAAAATTAAAAGGGCATTTAGAGCAACAACGAATATAAGACCTCACATGAAGATTATTTTTTGTTGTTGTTGTCATTCTTCTAGTTTCTAGGTCATCTATTTTTTCTTTTTATTTCTCCGAATAAAGTAGTCAGTTATAAAAACTGTGTCGAGATTTAATAGATATGATTAGACAGATAAGACCTCAATCCCGGGAGGAATAAAATGTCACAGGAAACTGCGCACAGACCGGTGTTTATCTCTCTTGGAATGAATAAAGCAAGTCTGCATTAAGTCCAACTGGTGGTTAAATCTGTGGTATTATGTCTGCCAGAAATAAGAACACAAGTTAAAAAAAAAATGTTAGAATTAACTGTAAAGATGTTTAGGGACAGAACTGTTGACACAGTCTAACTAAATATATTAACAGGATTAAAATACTTTTTTTCTCTTTATTTATTTATTTTTTTTTTTTCAATTTTAATCTAGCTGGTAAATTTATTATCTTAATTTTCGTTTTCATGACTTAAGTAAGTAGATATTCAAAATGAGTATATAAACTCATGAGGTACAAATTTAAATGCTGATGTTTCCAGTGTGAAGGAGAAAGTCAGGAGAAAAATGTATTAAATAATAATATATAAAATAGTCAATAGATGTTGCTACTGACAGATTACTAACAATAATAAAAAAAAAATTAGTTACTGTTAGTCATAATTTAGTCTGGCTGCACCTATAAAAAATATGTGGTGCTATTTCTCCTCAACTTTGAGCACTTTCCTTTTAATAATCGTAAAGCAAATAATCTTGTTAAAGAGTTGTTAAAATGTGGCCTCCTCACCTGCTTAAATCAATGAAGCTGAAACACATTTTGGTATCATTCTGTATCATTCTTACCATATATTTTTTGCATATCATCAATAAATGGCCACACACACCTTTAATATATTTCTGTTTAAAATTTGAAGGTTTTTGGAGTCATCAAAACACTGCACTTTTTGTGTATGTGTATGTTTGTGTGTTTAAGACTAATGTTGCATGCCTTAAATCATCATCAATCTGAGGAATGAAATCTAATTTTGAGGTTTTAACTTTTGAGATTACTTATCAGCCTTTAAGAAACGAATGAGAAGATTTTGTGGGATTGGTTTATATATTAGACATTACAAAGCAACTTGGAAAAACACAGTAACCAGGTCAACTTACTTATCAGCTTTGTTTATATGTAAGAAAGTCCTCCTAAAAAAAAAAAAAAATATGTAATGAATTAATTAATTAATTGCATAATTTATTGTCACCATACACATGTACAGTGAGATCATTGGATCTTTCAGAACTAAACATCAGAAGTGACTTCTCAGTGCAGCTGAGTTTTCAAGAAACCAGACCCTCTTGAATCATTTTGACATTTTTGAAACTGGATATGGTTTAAAACAGTAGAGACATTAACTGTAAACTGAAGGTAGTTCTTTCTAAAACATAGTAAACCTTCAAATTGAATTATGCTATCTATCTATCTATCTATCTATCTATCTATCTATCTATCTATCTATCGATCTATCTATCTATCTATCTATCTATCTATCTATCTATCTATCTATCTATCTATCTATCTATCTATCTATCTATCTATCTATCTATCTATCTATCTATCTATCTATCTATCTATCTATCTATATAATCAGTCAGACTTCTGCGCCTGTTGACAGGCATGTTGGTTTACTGCTCATGAGCAAGGTACTTACATTTTTCTGGGGTTCGTTTTTTTTGACTTACTTTTATAGGAAAAAACTCAGAATCATTATTTTATTGAATAATCATTTAGTAATTTTTTAATTTATTTTCAGATTTTTGTTTACTACTGTGTGTGTATTAACCATTTTCTTAAATGGGAGGGTATATAAACTTTCAAGCACATCTGTATATGTTTGCACAAATACACATCAAACCAGAATATTATTGTAAAAGTCTGTTTTTTTGCCTTCTATTTTATTTCTCTGTAATCTCCCCAAGATTTATAACCATTGTTAATTTCGACCTGGAAAACCTGACATGTAGTACTATTCTTTTTTGGAAGAATGGACAAAAGGCCAGATGAGACATTTAGATTTCACAAAAATCTTGATCTATGGAGGCGTACATATTCAGAATAAAACACCAAAAAGTGCATTAAAGTTTAAAGTAATTTAAGGTTAAGACAAAGATTGCTCTTTCAATTCCCCACTTAATCGCTGCATATTGTTAAGTTTCCACTTGTTTTTTTTTTTGCTTGAGCCACAGTATCTGAAATATTAATAAACTGTAGCTGAATTTAAAATTGATGTCATCAAGTCTGTGTGGCAAACATGTCCACAGTGATTTTCAACCTGAAAGCGATGTTCAGTATGGTTAGTGAGGAACCAAATAAAAGCATTAACCCTTTAATTTAACTTTGGTTAGATTCAGAAGTGGTAATTAACAGTAACTTGGGCTTACAGAAGAGCAGCATCAAAAAAACATATAAAAGAAAGACACAATAAAACCCAAAGGTATATTTTTTAAGACTGTTCTCTCACCTTTCTCTGTAACTGCAGCTCAAGCTGTTATTGAAATTATTTGTTGATTAAGTCATGATGGTTGTGACAGTTTATTCTGGCGAGCTGTCCAAAAGAGGGCTTCATGTTGGAATAGAGGCTCAGGCCGTTTTAAAATGAAGTCAGTGCGCGATTGTGATTTAAAGCAGGAAAGCTAAAGTCAATAACTTGGATGCTGGAAAAAAATGTGTGTTTTTGTAGCACATCCACTGCTCATGCCAACTGTCTCTACACGTATTTTACTTTGAAGGTGTTTAGTGTCTCATTTTCTGTCTGTTTTGTTCAGTCAAGCAATTATAACATAATAGCTATTTGGTTGAAGTGTTGATAGATAGCTTAGGGTTAGTTAAACATGGCTAGCTTTGAAAAATGACACTCTTGTCATATATAATTAAATGCATACATAGTTTTTTGCTTTATTGTATATTAAAAAATAGATGAATTTGGTGAACAACTGGATATAAATAGATATAATTCACTCTTGCAAACATAGCTTAGAAAGCCTTGTTTTTACAGTATTCCTTTGTCCTATTTTCATCTTTTCTGATAATGTTTGGTAGTAGTGTCTGTTTGTTGAGTGCCTATTTTTTATATGATATTCATACCTTTCCCTGCACTCCTAGATTGCTCCCTTGCAATCTTAGACTTGGACAACTTTTATTGTCATTTTGTATACACACGGTGTGTACAAAACGACATTTTGTTTTCTAGAGCTTTCATGTCATTTCCATTTCTTAAAGTGCAGCAGAGATCAAATGTAAACAGTGTGGTGCAAAAAAACGCAAAAATGTACAAATTTAGAATCAATTTTAATTATCAAGTTGATAAATATAAAAACGAAGACAATTTGAAAACCAATGAGGCAAAAACAGGAGTAGAACTCCTTTTTTGAAAAAAAAAATAAGTATACATAGATGTTGCCATGAAAACAGAAGGCATGTTTGAACTGGTTCAAATAAGCATGGTTTTAAAGTCGGCACTCTGCTCTTAAGTATTCATCACAGCGACAGCCTGTGGGAAGAAACTGTCTCTGTGGCAGTCAGATTCATAAATGCCACTTTTTTAGGCAACCTTGACGGTAAAAGTCTGAACAGAAAAGGCCTTTATGAAGCTTGTACATCATCAGTTTTTACAGATTTCTCTAAAGGAGACAGACAGATTCCTGAGGATTTCAAAACCATGGTTTAAAACAAATAAACCCTTCATAATACATTTAAGATTTTTTTTTTGTTCATATCAAAAAGGCTAAATGGTTTTATTGTGATTTTCCTCTTCATCAAATAAACATGCTGTATTTCTATAATCTATAAAACATCATCCTTTATTGTAGCTGTAAAGACTACAGTGGGAATGAAAAAGCTATCCACTCAGCCCATAGTTAAATAAGAAAAAATAAATTGAAAAATAATCAAAGACACCTTTACCCTCATCCACACTGATTGATTGCACACTTCCATTAATTATTGAAATCTCTTTTTACACTCTTTATCGCTTTCTGGTTGGTAGAAGCTGTTTTGCTTTAATTGATTTGAGCTTAAAACTAGGGCTGCAACTTACGATGCAAATTGATTACCGGTAATCTGTTGATAATTTTTCCGATTAATCTATTAATAATCGGTAGCAAAAGGTTCCTTAAAGGAGACCTTTTGCTAAATTAAACCATTAAAGTGAAAATAAAGCTTTTCAACTTGAGGAGTGTTTTATAGAACATATTAACAGATGAAAAAGATTTTTATTGTTAATGCAAAATGTTACACCTTTTTTTTTTTTTTTTTTTTTTTTTACAATCTTGCTCATTACTGCTCTAAGTGGATTGCTCTGTCAGCTAAAGGCATATCTTAGAGTCTCTATAAACTAGTTAATCAATTCATAAATTAGTTGACGATTATTTGAATAGTTGATTAATCACGATTAATTTGATTAATTGTTTCAGGCCGGGTTAAAGCAGAGCATCACCTTGCCCATAATGATTTTATAGAGACAGAAAGATTGTATTTGAGTCAATGAGTCAATGCAATCAACTGGTTTTCCTTAGATAGAAAACCTTGCATCAATTTGACTGTATGATCTGGTTGAACTGTAAAGTGCCTTGAGATGACATGTGTTGTGAATTTGGCGCTATATAAATAAACTGAATTGAATTGAATTGAATTGTTAGAACAAATTTATTTATTGTCATGGGAATTTGACATTTAAAGTATTCCTTTAATTTATACATATATCTTCTATCTGAAAGCAGTAGTTAAATATTTTGGCAACCCATCCACCCAGCGCTAACTGAATCTGATAAAGGATCCATTTAAGGGCTGGCAGACTAGGCCATGGAACTCATCACAAAATGTTTTAAGGAAAATTCAATAAAAGTACCATAGGAAAACTACAAAAAGTTAATCAAGTATTGCAAGAAGGGGTTGATTATTGTTATGCTAAATCTTTTTCTGATCATTATTGAAGAATCTTTATTCTATTATTTGTTTATTATTTATTTTATTCATTTATTTATTTACGTATTTTATAATTCCTTTTATTTTCCTGTGTTGACCTTTTTCGACTGTTTAATTGAATTTGCAAAATCTATTCCTCATTTACTATCAGAAACAACTCTACTGGTGGGATTACTTTATGTCCTGCATTGTTACTTAGAAACAACTGTGCTGGATGCACACTAAAATAGCTTTATTTGTATCTTCTTATTTGGTGTTAGAAAAAAGAATGATTATTTTGTTTTAAAAAATTACAAATCCTTTTTTCATTTATTGTTATATGTTTGCCTGATTATGTAATGCACTACCTCTGCAATAGACATGATGACAAAACCTGGAAAGTGTTTGCACGGTTCTGAAAAAATGCACTACCATTGGGAAATCTGAGCAAAGCTTATCACTAACACCATGACAGAATTGATATCCACCTCTAATTATCCCTATCCTGCAACCATAGAGCGCTTCCTTCCATTTTATGTTGTCAAGTAGCGGTTAAGAAAATAAATAAAGACTAATAACGAAATTCAGTTCCGCTAAATGAACACAGTTTCTGCTCAGTTTCAATATAATCAATATTTTTATAAGGGCATGAAGATGACCTTAATATTTGGCAAGGGTTTAAAATGCCTTCCTTTGATAAACCTTTTACTTGTATCTACCCCTCTGCGTTTCGTGTTTTGCTGTGTCCTCTCTGTCTCCTCATCTTTTATCAACCCCCCCTCACCCGCCTGTCTCCTTCCCCATTGCAGTAATTCAGCTGCCCTCTAATCAACACCCCGACCTGTTTCCTTTTCACACCCCCGTTGCATTTCATCTGTCTCAAGTGCCATAAACCAAAGCCCCCCTGACTCATAGGTGCATTAACACCCTTGTTGTTTTGTTAGGTTGTCATATAATGCAATCTCCATGACAACAAGAAGCTCTAGAATAGCTAAAGATATGGAGAACATGAAGGTCGTTAGATGAGTAAAGTAGTTTTTTTTATTCCCAGCATCATAATTTTGTTTCCAATATCTTTTTTCTTTTCTTTAAAGCACATATATTTGGTTGATAAATAAAAAAGAAATCACAAATTAAAAGTGATGACTTTCTTTTTATAGAATCTTTCCCCCTTTGTTATTAATGTATAATAATTGCTAATACTTTATACAGTCCTCGTTTTCCCCATAACAGAGCTTTTAGTTTTTTTCTGTGACATTTAACAAACATGCAGCATACAAACATCACTTATAGTCAGAGTTCTTCTTTATTTTTCGTCCTCTCCTCTCTTTAACTAAAATGATAATGGAAGAAGTACTGATTTTGTGTCCTTCAAATTACTGTTATGTATTTGGCCAGTTGATTTGGTTCATTGCACAATGATTTTAGTTTGAGATGCTATGTATTGTGTTTCTCACCACTAACCAACTTAAAATCAACAACATACATCTGCCTTTATTTTTATTTTACACAATGTAATTCATAGTGAATACCTTGGAGGCTGCATTGTCCTGCTACTTCCCACAAACCATAAATATGCCTGGTTTCCTCATATTGGATTGATGGATTTACAATAGACTGATCTTAGTTGATTAAAAGCCTTGCCTAATTTTAGATCGGATGTACTGAGGGTGTGACATATAAAACATTATTAGAGTATTTTATCTAAGTTTAAGGACATCCAACGTTTGGGTTTTGGTTGTAAAAATAATCCTTTGAAAACTGTCAACATTTAACATCCTCGCTATTTTCTCAACTGATCTGCTTCTGTGTTTGTGAATTCATCTGAGATCCCGATTGTGCTCATCCCTGGATGTTTGGCTGTGAGTGCTGACCTCTATCCAGAGAAGGCGACAGTGACAAACAGGACCCCACTGCACCGGCCTCTCCTCACATCATTACCCACCATCCATCTCCAGCACACCCGATACTGAGCACCATGTTCCCATTAATAAAGCGCTTCAGCTCCTGTGGGGGCAATCTGATTTCTCATGTGCAAGCAGCTCATGTTAAATCCTTTTTCTTCCCTTTGTCTTCATCTTTGCTGCTTTACTTCCCATTTGTTTTCCTCCACCACCATTAGCACAGTTTTTGCAGCTTCATCAAATTTCTGAAGCTTTTTGCCAACATCACATTTTAAAGCTTTGCAAGTTATTTTTGTGTTTGTGTTTTCTTTCACTTTGCTGCAGATAATGCCGATGATGAGCTTGAGATGACAACGGTGTGTCACAGGCCAGAGGGTCTTGAGCAATTGGAAGCCCAAACTAACTTCACCAAGCAGGAGCTGCAGATTCTCTATCGTGGCTTCAAGAATGTATTTGCACATTATCACTTGTTCTCCCACATCACTGCTGTACTCCATAATGTATTCTTCCAGCAAAAAGCCGATTAACATTATTGAATGTTATTTTTCCCAAAGGAATGCCCCAGCGGAGTCGTAAATGAGGAGACTTTCAAGCACATTTATGCACAGTTTTTCCCTCATGGAGGTAAAAATTTGCTGTTTTCTGTTTTTTGTCCTGCTTTTAATGTACTGGGGGCTTTATGCATTGACATTGTTGTTGTTGCAGATGCAAGCATGTACGCACATTATCTTTTCAACGCTTTCGACACGACAAACAATGGATCCATTAAGTTTAAGGTAAAATCTGAACTGCAAGCACTTATAATATGGCCTATTTAGTAAGTTCATTGCTACACATGTTTATACAGAAACAGTTCCCTCGCCAAGTGAAATCTGCCTATCTCTCTTTCATCATGCAGAACCCACCAATTATTTTCTTGCTAGTTGAATGGTTGAGTTGATTTTTTTTTTTTTTACTTCTGATTAGGTATTTAGAAAAATCTTATTAGGTCTCAATAAAAAAACCTTTGGTACCCATGTAAAGGTAGCATATAGGCAGTTTTTGTTTATTTAAAGGAGCAGTATGCACATTTTTACCACTTGGTGCCCTGTTGAGCTTCGTCTGTAGACCAAAGCAATGGTATGTTCTCATACAACTTTCTGTCATGCTAAATAACATGACGCAATAGGTAATTTGGTTATGCTACCGTAATTAAAATTTCTGCTACTATTAGTATGAATGAAGAAACTATTGATTTCTCCTGTATAATTCAGACTGACAACACATTATTTTGCTTGTCAAATAACCCTATAATCCCTTTATTGCATTGTATTGCTTTTTTTTGTATGTTTTTTGTATTTATTTTGATATGCAATGAGAAACTCAAGTTGCTGCTGTTTCTGTAACGACTCAGCATAGCTGGACTACACAGAATACACAGCAAAGACAAATTTCACAACTAGAATGAAAAATCCCCAAAATTCTAAGCACCAGTTATCTGTTTTAATTTTAGATTACTTGTTAAAAATAAAATGCCCTGAATGTACATGTGGATCTCTATAGGCAGCTGACAAGCCCATCAGGCTGCATTACGTGTTAGCAAGGCTACTGGTATTAACACCGGCCTGGCTACGTAATCAAGAGCCTGGAGAACAACAAGAACAAAATATACATTTAGCTCTTCACAAAACAATTTGCACTGGTCCTCTTATATAAAACAATGACATCTTGCTCATAATGCAGATGTTACATGTCTGTTTTTCCTGAGACCCTGAATCTCTCTGGGCTTAGAAAAGTATTTTCCGCAACACCAATGTTTAAAACCTCTTATGTCCTGACCTGAATTTTTGAAAAAAAAAAATGAAAAAATTTCAGGAAAAGACCAAATCAGAGATAAGAAGTTCTCAAAAGTTTTGTTTTTCTTGTTTGCTTGTGTTGGTAATGTTTGTCAGACTGGGTAGGCTCCTTTAGGATCATTCATTTATCCAGTTAGCTGTTATGTTTCTGAAATATGTGTACAGTAGGGTTTTAATTAGCTAGCAATAAAACTTTAATCTATTTTTTCAGTTCAAAAAAATCCCTCTAAATTATATTTATTTTCGTCTTTAAAAATAATGGGTTTTTTTTTTTTTTTTTTTTTGGTAATTTATGTTTAAATAGTAAAATGACATTTTAATGGTGTTGCCTTCTTTAATATCTCCAAATTGGGAATTTTTTTTTGGGTAAATAATAAAAAGTATATATATGTTTGCCTGGGAACATTTTGTAAAGAAAATTAATGGTTAAAGACCAGTCTTAAAAATAGCACCACCTATTGATAGGTGGTGCTATTTTTTCTTTTCTTTTTTTTTGAGTAGCAATGTACAAGCTCCAAGTGACGCATCCAATTGTTTTCATTTTAATTAAAAGAGAAATAAAAAAAGAAGTAAATATAAAATACTTTCATAATCTATGCTTTCATGGATAGTCCAGAAAATGTTGCTTCTTTGCGGCTGCATAATCTAAACCTTTGTGGGCTTGGACCCATAATAAAACATGTAAAAATACATTTTTCTTTGGTTTGGTGCATTTATGCTGCATTTCTTCTGTGTTCCCTGTTCCTGTTGGCAGGATTTTGTGATGGGGCTATCCATTCTGCTGAGGGGAACCCTGAGGGAAAAGCTGGAGTGGACGTTTCATCTTTACGACATCAACAGAGATGGATACATAAACAGGGAGGTGAGACTTTACAGTTTTAACAGGGTTGTTATTGTTATCTGAAATGCTGCTCTTAACATGGCATTTATTGTGTTCATGCAGGAAATGACAGAGATTGTAAGGGCCATTTATGACATGATGGGCAAGTACACCTATCCAGCGCTAAAGGGAGACGTCCCACAGCAGCATGTGGATGCCTTTTTTCAGGTTCATATCTAGCACACATCACAAACTGGTGCATTTAGGCTTGAAATGAATGTCAAAAGGATTTGTTCAGATGGCTGTAGTATGAGAAAAGGCTTTATATTTTACAAAATGAGAGGGATATATCGTTTATTCTGTAGGTGAGGTTAGACTAATGGAACAAGTATGGTTTTTAGCGAAAATTGGTTAGCTTAAATTTACACGAAATGAAGCTTAAGCATGAATTCAATCTGGAAGACTCACATCAGCTTCACCTGAACCACCTGCAATGTCCCTCATTCAGTTCTGTTATTTTAGTTCAGTTATTTTCCTATATTTTAATCATGTAAAGCACTTTGCATTATCTTTCTACTGAATTGTGCTATACAAATAAATTTGCCTTGCCTTGCCTTGCCTATGAAGCCAATTGTTATTCAAGATCCCCTTCATTTAGCTCCTGGCCCAGCTTCTCTCTCCCACATGCAAGCAAACACCCCATTCCCCCCCAATCAATAACTTTTTATGAGCTAAAATTGTAAACATCAGACAGGCTAAGCAAAGCCTAAGTTCAATATAATCTTCTATGTTAAAACCGAGAAGTAAATGTCAGCCTGAAAAAGCAATGAGACAAGGCATCTATATAGATTTCCAGTTTTATTTGGGAAGAACGTGCTTCCTGCTTTCTGCTTATTTGACAAGCTTTCTGGGTTAGATCTGTAACATCTGTGTGTTACCCACAAGTTTATTCTTTGCACTAGTTATAATGTTAAATATTTTCTTGACAGTTCTTCACATTAGTAAGTTTTATTGCAACCTTAAATTACCTCTAAATATCTGTCATGTTCGGCTGAACGTATTTAGCCCACATGCAGAACACACACGGCAACAGGGATCAGTTAACTGTTTATTGATAGAGAGAAAATGGAAGCAACGGAGTCGACGGGGAAGCCACAGCACCGGGACCCGTTCGACTTCTGAAAGAAGAAGTAGGTGATTAGCCGGAAAGGGCGATCAGGCAAAAATGAACAGAGGAACGTGAGCTTACCACCGGACGCAGCAACCTAACCGGGGGAGGACGGAGCGGACTCAGGCTCTGATCGATGGAGCTGGTGGCGGGTGTCTCAGTGACAGGTGAGGCTCGGGCTTGAGGGTGACAGAGCTGCGCTGACTTAACAATGATCCGGGGCAGCAGGAGAAACCAGAGTGGCTCGAAGCACCTTGCTTTGAGCCAGGAGAAATGGAGGACCCTGTGGGAACTCAGACCCTGGAGTCAGCACGAGTGGGACCCTCTGAAAGGCGATCGAGAGGTAACCTGGGGAACACAGAGGTTTGGGTTAACGAGGGAAGTCAGAACTCAGTAGAGAGACTGTGGCCTTAGTCGTACCACTACGGTTAACACTCTGGCGTCCTCCTGCTGTCTGGATGCTGCTCTTATAGTGCGATCAGACGCAGCTCAACCAGCCACAGGTGTGAGCGCCCTGCCCACCCGTCAACTGCAAACACCTGCGGAGAAAGCAGAACCGGCAGAAACTGCATGGCCCTGTCGGCTGAGTCCTGACACCACCCCCCCCTCAATGGTCGCCACCCGGCGACCTCGAGGAAGAGGAGAGGAAAGAGTCCACCAACGACCTGTCAGGGAGGGAGGAACCAGAAACCCAGGAACGTTCCTCCGGACCGCAGCCCACCCAGTCGACGAGGTATTGATACCCTCTACCACGCCGACGGGAGGCCACGACCCTTTGGACCTGACGTCCCAGGTGGTCGAGGGTGGGTGGAGGGGGTTCGGCCGGAGGGCAAAACGGGCTAGAGAGGACAGGCTTGATTTGGGAGACATGGAAGGTAGGGTGGGTCCTGGAATGGGACGGGAGACGGAGGCGGACGGTCGTCGGGCTGAGGACGGAGACAATCTCATAGGGGCCAGTGAAACGTGGTAATAACTTCCGATGGGAAGATCTGGACGGGAGGTTTCGAGTAGATAACCAGACCCGCTGACCGGGGTGATAGGAGGGAGCAGGGACTCGCCTGCGGTCAGCAAACCGGCGGTTCAGCTCAGAGGTCCGGTTCAGGGCTTGGATGGTCTGGGTCCAGACCCTTTTGCATCGGTGGATGTGGTGGGCAACGGAAGGTACAGCTATTTCCTTATGGTCGTCGGGAAACAGAGGTGGTTGGTAGCCCAGAGAAGCTTCGAAGGGGGAGATGCCAGTCGCAGTGGAGACATGACTGTTATGAGCGTACTCCACCCAGGGAAGGAACTGACACCAGTCGGAGGGATTGGTGGAGGTTAGACAGCGGAGAGCGGTCTCCAGCTCCTGGTTGAGCCGCTCAGTCTGACCGTTGGTCTGCGGATGGTAGCCAGAGGTAAGAGAGTACCGGGCACCAAGGGCCACGGCAAACTCCTTCCACACACGTGAGGTGAACTGTGGACCACGGTCAGACAGAACGTCCAGCGGGATCCCATGCTGGCGGAAAACATGCTTCACCAGGAGCTGGGCCGTCTGAAAAGCAGAGGGGAGTTTTCTGAGGGGAATAAGGTGGCAGGCCTTAGAGAAACGATCAGTCACAGTGAGAATAGTGGTCATACCTTGGGAGGATGGTAGGCCGGTGACAAAGTCTAGGGCTATGTGGGACCATGGCCGCTCAGGGACTGGCAGGGGCTGGAGCAAGCCTGCAGGGGGTCTGTTTGATGGCTTGTTCTGTGCACAAACTGGGCAGGCTAGGACGAACTGTTTAACATCCTTGGGTAAGTCGGGCCACCAGAACCGCCGGGAAATGAACTTGATAGTTCGGAGGATTCCAGGATGGGCCGATAACTTTTCAGAGTGGGCCCACTGGATGAGGCGGGGCCGAACGGAGGAGGGGACGTAGGTGCGGTTAGGTGGGCCATTACCTGGGTCCGGGTCAGCAGGCAGAGCTTGGGAAATGAAGTCCAGAATCTCCCACTGGAGGGCCCCAAAGGTGCAGGTCGGAGGTAGGATGGGAGAGGGCTCCTTAACTGAGTCGTGGGGGGCGTACAGGCGGGACAGAGCATCAGGTTTTAGATTCTTGGAACCAGGTCGGTAGGAGATACTTAAATTAAAACGGGAAAAGAATAGGGACCAACGGGCTTGCCTGGGATTGAGTCGTTTAGCTGTTTGGAGATAAGCTAGATTCTTATGATCTGTCCATATTTGTACTGGCTGCTCAGACCCCTCCAGCCAGTGGCGCCACTCCTCCAGGGCCAATTTTATGGCCAGGAGCTCCCTGTCGCCGACGTCGTAGTTGCGTTCAGCGGGGGACAGACGACGGGAGAAGAAGGCGCATGGGTGCATCTTCTGATCCAGTCCCGAGCACTGAGACAACACAGCTCCAACACCAGTGTCGGAAGCATCTATTTCGACAATGAACTGTTTGGAGGGGTCTGGATGAACGAGAATGGGGGCCTTGGAAAACCTGTCCTTAAGGTCACGGAAAGCTGAGTCGGCCTCTGTGTTCCACCTGAACGAAGTCTTCACGGACGTGAGGGCGTGAAGGGGGGCGGCGATCTGACTGTACCCACGGATAAAGCGGCGATAAAAGTTAGCGAAACCTAAAAACCGCTGCAGCTCTCTTCTGTTCTCTGGTTCAGGCCACTCGAGAACAGCCCTGATCTTTTCAGGGTCAGACCGGACACGCCCCCCTTCCAGGATGAGACCAAGGAAGGTGACAGAGGGTTTGTGGAACTCGCACTTTTCTGCTTTCACAAAAAGCCGATTCTCCAGAAGGCGCTGAAGAACGAGGCGGACATGGTGTCTGTGTTCAGAGAGGGTTCGTGAATAAATGAGTATATCATCCAGGTAGACAAAAACGAAGAGGTTTAGGAAATCACGGAGGACATCGTTCACAAGGGATTGGAAGACCGCTGGAGCATTGCTGAGCCCAAAAGGCATTACCAGGTATTCAAAATGGCCCAAGGGTGTCTTGAAGGCCGTTTTCCACTCGTCCTCCCGGCGGATCCGGACCAGGTGGTAAGCATTACGCAGATCTAATTTAGAAAAGACCGTAGCGGACTGGACCGGTTCAAGAGCGGAGGAAAGGAGAGGAAGGGGGTACCTGTTCTTTACCGTTATAGCATTTATCCCACGGTAGTCTATGCACGGGCGAAGGGAGCCATCCTTCTTCGCAACAAAAAAGAACCCAGCCCCGAGGGGGGAAGACGAGGGTCTAATCAGCCCAGCTGCTAGTGACTCCTTAATGTATTTCTCCAAAGCCTGTCGCTCGGCCTGAGAAATGTTATACAGGCGACTGGCTGGGAGCGGGGCGCCCGGCAGGAGGTTGATTGCGCAATCGTAGGGTCGGTGCGGTGGCAAAGAGCAGGCCTGGGACTTGCTAAAAACCAACTTGAGGTCGTGATACGACTCTGGAACGAGTCTTAACATTTCTGGATCAACCTCAGCAGAAGGCTGGACTGTGATCGGGCTGGCGGGTTCCGCCGACAGCAGGCAGCTGGAATGGCATTTAATCGACCAGGCTTCGATGCGCCGGTCAGCCCAGTTAATGTTTGGGTTGTGTTGCTGTAACCAAGAATAACCCAACACCAGAGGAGCCTGCTTAACAGGAAAAACCAAGAAGGAGATCTGCTCCCTGTGATTTCCTGAAACCACGAGCTCAAGGGGCTTAGTACGGTGGGTTATCTGAGGGAGAGCCCCTCCATCTAAGGCAGAGACCTGGAGAGGGGTGCACAGGGGCACAGTTTCGAGCTGGGAGCGTTGAACGAAAGAACAGTCTATTAAATTAAAGTCGCACCCTGAATCAACCAGAGCGGAAAACTTAAAGGTTTCACGGGAAGAAATTAAAGCGGCGCGTAAGCACAGACGCGGAGGAGCAGGGGCTGACAGCTTAACTTGGTCCGACGGTCTCCCTGCTACAGCCGGCGGACCCGGTCTTTTGACCGCTCAGGGCAGTCGCCAATAAAATGATTCGGGGAAGCACAATAAATACATAATTTGGCAGCTATACGCTGCTGCCTCTCCTCGGGGGTGAGCCGTAACCGGCCCAACTGCATGGGCTCAGGAGGAGAAGGAGGACGCGCTGCGGGCCGACCGGGAATAGGATCAGGTGGAGAAGACGGGAGGGATCTCTCAGCTCGTCCCCTAAACCTTCCCCTTAGACGGTTATCTAATCTAACCGCAAGGGAGATGAACTCATTTAGAGAGGCGGGCACCTCTAGACGGGCTAATTCATCCTTTAGTGGCTCGTCTAGAGCCTGAAAAAACACAGTCTTAAGCACGCGCTCTTCCCAGCCAGCTGCAGCCGCAAGAGTTCTAAACTCAATTGCGAAGTCTGCAACGCGCTTTCCCCGCTGCCTGAGGGCGAGGAGGCGTCGGGAATCAGTCGTCTCATCCGACTCGGCAGCGAAAACCATCTTGAATTCTGTTATGAATTCACTAAATGAGCAGCGGAATCTTCTGCAGTCTGGAAAACGGGATTCCGCCCATCTGAGGGCTCTCCCGGTGAGAAGGCGCAAAATAAAGGCTATTTTGGAGTCGTCATGGGGAAAAGAGCGTGGACTACGATTTAAAGCCAGGGAGCATTGGAAGAGAAAACCAGAACAATCTACACTGTCCCCGGAGAATTTCTCAGGACTGGGAGAAAAAGTCTCAGGGACAGGTGAAAACGAATCAGCTGGCGCTGGACCGGGGGCGGGGTCAGGCTGTGCAGAGGCTGCAGGCTGAGCGCTTGCACTCAGTAAACCTGTCAGCTGATTGAGCTGGGCGGCTACGCCCTGCAGCTGATTCTGAACGGCTAGAACAGTGGACTCTAATCCCCGAATCTGATCCTGCTGGGCATTTAACGCCCTGCCGAATGTGTCCGCTGGGTCTGTCTGGCCAGAGTGTTCTTCTGTCATGTTCGGCTGAACGTATTTAGCCCACATGCAGAACACACACGGCAACAGGGATCAGTTAACTGTTTATTGATAGAGAGAAAATGGAAGCAACGGAGTCGACGGGGAAGCCACAGCACCGGGACCCGTTCGACTTCTGAAAGGAGAAGTAGGTGATTAGCCGGAAAGGGCGATCAGGCAAAAATGAACAGAGGAACGTGAGCTTACCACCGGACGCAGCAACCTAACCGGGGGAGGACGGAGCGGACTCAGGCTCTGATCGATGGAGCTGGTGGCGGGTGTCTCAGTGACAGGTGAGGCTCGGGCTTGAGGGTGACAGAGCTGCGCTGACTTAACAATGATCCGGGGCAGCAGGAGAAACCAGAGTGGCTCGAAGCACCTTGCTTTGAGCCAGGAGAAAGGGAGGACCCTGTCGGAACTCAGACCCTGGAGTCAGCACGAGTGGGACCCTCTGAAAGGCGATCGAAAGGTAACCTGGGGAACACAGAGGTTTGGGTTAACGAGGGAAGTCAGAACTCAGTAGAGAGACTGTGGCCTTAGTCGTACCACTACGGTTAACACTCTGGCGTCCTCCTTCTTCTTCTTCTTCTTCTTGTTTTATTGGCGACTTGCAACCAAATGGAGCATTATCGCCACCTACTTGTTCTTATTTATATTTCCTTAAATCCTTAGGTTTAGTCCAGTTTGTTGAAGATAAGATGACATGATTTTAAGTACTGTCTTTCTGGATTTATTTGAGAAGATATTTTTAATGTCCAGTTGTTTGATTCCTTCATGTTCCAGTCCTTTCCTTAAATCTATTCTTTGACTTGCATATTTAATACACTCAAACAGCACATGTTCTATGGTTTCTGGTTGACTACACATGTCACATTTTCCTGTTGGATGCTTCTTAATAACATGCAGTGATGCATTTAGCCTCGTGAGGCCTAACCTAATTCTACTAAACATCCCCTGTTCTCTCCTGCTCTTCCCAAGAGGCTCTTCTTCTCCCACCTCTGGCGTCCTCCTGCTGTCTGGATGCTGCTCTTATAGTGCGATCAGACGCAGCTCAACCAGCCACAGGTGTGAGCGCCCTGCCCACCCGTCAACTGCAAACACCTGCGGAGAAAGCAGAACCGGCAGAAACTGCATGGCCCTGTCGACTGAGTCCTGACAATATCGTTTTTGTTTCCTTTCAGAAAATGGATAAGAACAAAGACGGAGTGGTGACCTTGGAGGAGTTTATCTTGGCCTGTCAAGAGGTCTGTATTTCCCATAATCTGTGTGATGTATAACAAACAAAATAACACAGCATAGAAATGTCACTACTTCTCTTTTATCTAATCAACATGCATATTTCACAGAGGTGACACAAGGAAAACTTTTGAGAGAAAATAATCCTTAGATTGACTACCAATTTATTTAAAAGAATGTTCTGTTATTTTGCAACTTATTTTGAATCTTAAATTGCAATACAGAATTTAAAGAGAAGTTTTGTAAAAGCTTAAAATAATCAGCTTAATTTAAGGATAACATGTAAAAAACAGAAGCTTTGTGCTGCAGTGGCATAAACTAGAGTTTGTTGACTGTCAATTCTGCTGGACAATGAGATTTACAGACATGCTGCAGGAAAAAAACTTCAGAGTGACTCAACGCTTCATCTTCTATCTCCCCACAGGATGAAAACATGATGAGATCCATGCAGCTGTTTGAAAACGTCATGTAGAACGAGTCGAAATGAAGTTGAAAGAAACAAGGCAAATCAGAGGGCTTTGTGTGAATGTGTGTGTATGTGGGTGCACATGTGCAGCCCAATCCTGCCTCTCCTACCGTTCCTGCTCCCACCAGCTGAGCTCTGGATACAGCCAGAGCTTCCTGTGATGACACTAATGAAGGGACTGGAGTCAAATAGCCTCAGCCTTCCCGCAGAGTTTGGCCACACAGAAAAGTGATTAATGTGACAGGGCTTGAGCTCTGTCACAAAGATTGGTCTTTTATAGATGAAGATGCTCCAACATTTCAAGGATGCCAACGACCTTTGAGGAAAAAATGCCTTCCAGAGGTGGACCTATTTTTTTGCTGTTGTTGTTTGGTAATTTCCACCCACATTTACCCGCATGTGTTTAAAGGAACTTTTTTTACTTCCCTAGATATGGTAGATGTCGCCTAGAAATGTGGCCATAAGGACATCTGCGTGTATTGACTCATCTCTCCGGTGTTCAGATGGATTTAAAATGTCATTTGCAAGATTTCCCGATTCAGTGTTCCTTGTACATTTCTGTTGACTTGGCTACTGCTCAGATTCAGAAGTCTGTCTTATGCTCGTTGTTAATCTGTGTGCTACTTGTATAACGGGGTTGAAATATCTGAAGGCTTTATTTTATATATATATATATATATATATATATATATATATATATATATATATATATATATATATATATATATATATCCTACATGCTGAGTGTGTTGATGTGCCTGTCTTTTATATTTCCAAAGACTTGTTATCAAAAATGTTACATTTATTTATTTTATAGTACAATTATGCAGTACTGTGAAAAGAAATAAATATATTTCCAGTGTTGATAAATGTTTAAGAGATATGTCGCATATTAGAGAAGGTATTATATTTAAGGATAGTTCAGATGTTTTGAATTGAAGTTGTAACAAAGGGTGATACACTGGCAATATTTCATCTGCTGTGAGAATAATCATACAATGCTAGAGCTAAAAGCTAGTCTTGTAGCAGCCTACTTCAGTTTTTTTTTTTTTATCATGTTTTTCACACAAAAAAATGTCATAAGTGGGAAATTACCTTGATGTGTAAATATTCATGGTTATCTAGAAATACCCAACCAATAGAAATGTAGCTAAAGTAAAGAAGATTTAGGAAATATCTTTCAGATAAACAGAATTGTTTGAGGCAGTCTATTTCAGTCTCATTCCCTCTTGCACTACCCAATAACTTAAGCCACCAGAATGATCTAATTGGATTTATTTACAAAAGTGTTTGAAAGAAACCTCAAAGGGCCTGAACTATCCCTGTGATATCCTGGTTACAGAGGGAAGTGTTTGCTTTATAGTGGCTAACTGGTTTTTACTCAGTCCATGTAATTATCAACATGTGATGCTGACCTGACAATAGTTTTACACCTAAAGTTCTGAGAGAACATAGCATCTTGTGTTTCCTTTAGTTTCTGTTAATTTTGGTGTCTTTAAAGATAATAGAAAACTCACAGAGGTACAGTATTTTTAAATTAATGAAATATAAACGCTTTCCTTTTGAAATCATTGAAGCAGCTGTTTAGTGTGTGCTTCATTGGTGTGAATTCTCAGTTCCCACTGTATAGTACCATTTAATGACAATGAGTTTCAATAAAGAGGGTGATTCATTTAAAGCCATAACAATAAATATCAAAGTAATTTGAATGTGCTGTGTTTTACTTCACTTCACTTCATCCACATGGGAGTTCTTTTTTTTCTAAATACATGCTAAAAAAATATCATACTATGCACATTATTGTGTTGGACAGAAGAATATGCAGTGCTCTGCAAAACATTAAACAATGAATAAATGATGAGCACTTATCAGAGAGAAATGCTGAATAAATGCTAGAACCAATTTTAAAATCGAGCTTTCCTCTCCGTGTTAAACTTTGTGAACTCATAAAATTGATTGCAGCACATTTTGTCTGCTGTACGGTGCCTCCCAGACCTCTTAACACTCCTGACAAAGACTTACAACGCATTTATAATAGATGGTTGCTTTGAAAAACGTACTATTGCAGTTGTGCAGCAGCGAGGTTGAGGAATTATTTTCCTCTACTAACCATCCACCTAAGTGTTTGCGTTGGAAGGATAAACATGTCACAGTTTTGATATTTTGAGCTGTTTGCTATTTCCTAACTTAATACAATTAACACACATCTCTCTCTGACTTCCCGTATTTTCCGCTTTAAAACTTCGACACAGAGAAATTGGCCATGACCTAAGTAAAACAGAAATATATTTTTTTATGAGCTTTGCTAGACCTAGAAGGGTATGAAATATACTACAAAGATATTAAAGAGTACAGGTATATATATTTGTAAATAAATATGAAAAGATAACAAAAAAATTGTTGTATATTCTCAATTAACCTTTATGATTTTTTTACAAGGGTCACATGGGTCAAATACTCTTTAGTAAAACAATAGTGTCTAAAATGTATATAGACAAAAGGCCGCCTTGGCAGTGTTAGGCCAAGTTTGATGGAATAAATGTACTCAAAGGCATATATTACTGCAATATTATAGCATTTCAATCATTTTTAGGATCCTTTACAAAATATATAAATCAGTCTATAGTGCAAACAGGAAATGGAGCTTTAACCAAGCCCTGGCTTATTAAAAATACCTACATACTGTACAGTTTACTCTGTGGTTAGAAAATGTTTTAAAGAAAACATGAAGCTAAAGAAGTTTTAACCTGAACAATAGGAGATGTAGAGCAAAAGAAACAACACAAAATGAACAACTGTACTTTCCCTGAGCAAAAAAAAAAAAGCTTTATATAAGTATTTTGAAAGGTAAATTTCATTCTAATATTATTATTTGCATCATTGTTATTATTGTGGTTATTGTTTACTGTTAAATATAATTTTATATTAAGTAATGAATAGTTTTTTTCTGCTCAATCAGGATAAAACATTTATACCATTAGAGAGCGAAACTCACATCCCAACTTCAAATAGGCGATAAATCCTCCTGAAGAAGTCAGAAATTTAGGCCTCATATTTCATTGAATTTCAAGCGTCACATGGCAAATGTAACAATAAAGGTATTTTAATATCTGACAAACATTGTAACTGTTGCTTTTCTATTTCAATACAGACATTTGTGATTAATCGATTATTGAAATAATCGTCAAATAATTTTGGAATCGATTAATAGTTAACTCCCTTTAGCTGACCCACTTAGAGCAAATATCTGCCTTAACAGTTTTAAAGCACATTATGTTCTACTTAACCATATTCAATTATCATATCTGGAATGGTTTTATGACTCTAAAGAATGGATCTACTGTATTTGCACAGATACTTATTGCATGAACAAGATTAATAAAAGAATGTATATATTTTTGTGTAAACTGCTATGAAATTATGAAGTATAATTTAACTAGATTGAGTATTAAACAAATCAAAAGTTGCTTACAGCTGAGCAAAAGTCAGTCTGCAATATACATTTGCAGCACAGAAGAATAAACTTAACTTTATCAAATATGAAATACAGTAGAGAAAATAAAAATGCATCCATGCATAAAAAGACTATGATTAGGACAAACGAGGTTGAAGGAAACGTCACGTCTTGAATAAACATCGCTGTCAGATGTGATTGTGAAATGGATTTGAAATCAATCATAATTATTTGTGAAAAATACAGGCTGAGTAGAGAAAAACAAGGATTAAGGTGGTGTGGTTTGGAAACCTAACAGTGAGCTAAGTATTAGTTAAATATGGAATGATAAATAGAGCATTTATAATATATTTTAGGAAAAGGGTTTATTTACAAAAATATAAATTATGCTAGTTAAAGATTTTGGATCACACTCCGTTACAATCGGTGGTGAGGCACTTCTTTTGTTGTTTGCCAACAGCCAAAAAAAAAAAAAAAAATAACATAAGAATTAAACCACTCTCATGCCATTTGATAAATTTGAAACGATCATCATGAAAGTGATCCAGTTAAAGTATTGTAAACTTGTTGTGAAAGAGGAGAAAAATAGTTTTGGATGGGTGGGAGATAAAAGAGCAAAAATATTTAAAGTATAGAATTAAGAGTCTAGCTCAACAGTTCTGTGGCCTTTAAGAATAACAGGATCATTGAATCATATCCGTGTGGATAGATCACTGACAGATGAATCAAAGGAGCCTAAAACAGAAGCAACTGGAATAGTAGTAGTGATTCCTAAATTATCAATTAAGATTTCAAATAGAACATTAAGTATATATGGAATAGAATTATACTCTATCGCTGTGGCTGTAGAGCGGATAGAACTGGGACATTGATTATTTGTAGTGCTTTGTTGCCTGATTTTTCAAGCGTCACAAAGTCACAAAGCACAAATAACCACCAGAGCACCCTGAATAAAACAAGAATATAGTATTTATACATACATATATATCTATATATAGACAGATATATATATATATATATATATATATATATATATATATATATATATATATATATATATATATATATATATATATATATATATATATATATATATATATATATATATATATATATATATATATATATGTATATATATATAATTATATATATATACATATATATATATATTAGATATTGAGATACAAAAACCACTATCTAAATCTGAGGTTAGCAGTATAGTGTTTAAGGTAAAAAGTAGTGGAGGAGAAGGTAATGGGATATCTTTATATGGAATACAACCATCTGTTGAGAGTACAAGAAATAGAGGAATGAACAGGAGGGAAAAGGTAGTGATTGGAGGTATAAGAACAGGTAATTTTCTCCTGAATGGCACCCTTTTTAAGATGGAGGAACATCTCACTGGGTTGTGTAATGGCTGTAGTAGTATTGAAAGGATTAGATCATGGTATTATTTGGTGCATTCGATATGAAATTCAAAGTAAATGTTTAAGATTTTTTTTTCTGGGAAGCTGACGTTTAAAGATACTGCGGCACAGTAGAATAATAAAGTAGGGAAAAGAAAGATAAGTGAAGTACAACTGGTCCCTTGAGAATTTAATGGTTATGTAATTAATATAAAATCCACACGATGGCAGTAAGGCAACACGCGATGGATTCACGCTCCCGTTAAAAACCAAAGAAGAAGAATGAGAAGTATTCTCATGTCCGATTGGTGGTGGTGTTGCGCTCTTTGTTGTTTCATACAGCGGAGAGGAAGAAGCAGAACCCACGTTGGTTAAATCCTTCCATTCCAGCTCTTTCAGCACAGGCAGACAGTCGGTCATTTCCATCCGCAAAAATGAACGGCGTAAACGACGAGCCAATGGCACCACAAACATTTCTTTACGGTGAGACACTATTTAAAAGCATAACTTTTGTTTGCTTGTTAGGTGTCGTTTGCTGTATGAATGAAAAGCAGGTTGTACTAACAACTAGGCCAGTTTTGTAGTTATACGCTCCTCCTATGGTCTTTCAGATATATTTAGCTTAAAACGGTGAGATGTTTTCATACGTCAAAACCTTCTTTTAGTGAAGTATTCGGCAATGAAGCAAAGTCTTGTTCGATTCTTGGGGTACAACCGGGTTTCGGCAGCAGGCTTCCACGCACGTGCTTTTTGTAGTCAACATGGCGGCGCCCATGTTTTTATAACGTTCTTCAAATTAAAAGTATGTTGAACATAAAACTAAGCAGATGCTTTCTCGTTTAAAACACGGTTTAAACGTTTAGTGCATGTTTACGGAGAACCAAAGATTAAGTGAACATTTTTCCAGAAAAGAGGTAGAAAGCGACACAACGTGGCTTCCCACGTTCACATCTGGGACCCCAGCCTCTATGCAAACCATAGAAGCTACTAACTAATGTCTTAGGGACAATTAAATCGATTTACTTCTGTTCTATTTTTGACATGTAAATTGTTTTTATTGAAAGAAAGAAAGAGAAGGAATTCGTATATGCCTCTAAGCCCTTTTATGTCATGTCTTAAACTGAAGATCAAAAGTCAATTTTAATATTTATATTGATAATTATGATTCATTCGTTACATAGTTTTTTTTTTTTTTTTTATCACCTCACCTTTTTATAATCCCTCTTAAAAATAGTTTTCACAGATTTGCTTCATGGAACCAGGAGGTGGAGAATAACCTAGATTGTAAAGACATAGTGAAATTATAACCATCAGAAAGACTTTTAGTTATTTTGATCAACTTTCCTTCACGTGGCTCATCAGTAGTGATTACCATGGACCCTAGAGCTCCCTCCTGTGTTAAGCTTTAACCTAACATGTGAAATTCGAGCTATTTCTTTGTTGGGGAGGGGTGTTGATCAGGAGCCTGAGGCTGGGACTGATCTTTGCCTTTTTTTTCTTTTGTTAGCAAAATTTTGACAAGCCTTTTATTTTTTATATTTTTTTTTAACAGGGTGTGTTCTGCAAGCTGGCAAGGAGGTGGTCTTTAATCCTGAGGATGACGACTTTGAGCACCAACTAGATCTAAGGATGGTGAGTGGCATGAATTACAGAGGTTTGAGCAAAGTTTAAGCTAGCCAATTGGTTTTGCGTTGCTTTTTTGTTTTTCCAACCTCAATGTTCATAAAAGAATTAGAAAAGTTGCACAATCTTTGTCCTATCCTAAAATCTTTTTACTAGGAATAAAACACTTTAGATGTTCAATGATAAGTGTTTCCACAAAACAGGCTTTCATTGGAGGCGGCCAGACTTTCGCTTTTTTTTTTTTTTTTTTTTTTTTTTACATTTCCATACCAGGGTTTCCGTGGGTCATTAAACATCATTAAATGGGATTATTTTGGGCATTTAAAAATAATTGGCATTTGCATATGTGTGTGTGTGTATATGTATGTATATATATATATATATATATTAGGGGTGGAACGGTTCACAAAATCCACGTTTCAGTTCAATTCACGGTTTTCGGTTCGATTCGGTATATGTTGATTGTTTGAACCAAACGAAACGCACGCGAATCGAACCGAGACAGTCGAACCGAAAGGTTCGGACGGTTTTCATAAATCGTCCCATCCCATATATATATATATATATAGCGCAATATAGTTGCGCAGAACTGCTTTCGGGTGATCGTCAAGTCGTATGTTCGGAAAAGAAGCTCAAACCGGAGAAGAGGCTGTAGAATGGGGGAAATGTTAATTTCAACAAAAGTGGCTGGAAATCGAGGAATTGCAGCCTGCCGACAGTGAAGATGAAGGAATTGGCTCTGTATACAGGTGCTGGTCATAAAATTAGAATATCATGAAAAAGTAGATTGATTTCAGTAATTCCATTTAAAAAGTGAAACTTGTATATTATATTCATACATTACATACAAACTCATATATTTCAGATGTTTATTTTGTTTAATTTTGATGATTACAAATGACAACAAATGAAAATCTCAAATTCATCATATCAGAAAATTAGAATATTGTGAAAAGGTTCAAAATTGATGGCCCCTGGTGCCACACTCTAATCAGCTAATTAACTCAAACCACCTGCAAAAGCCTTTAAATGGTCTTTCAGTCTAGTTCTATAGGCTACACAATCATGGGGAAGACTGCTGACTTGACAGTTGTCCAAAAGACGACCATCGACACCTTGCACAAGGAGGGCAAGACACAAAAGGTCATCGCTAAAGAGGCTGGCTGTTCACAGAGCTCAGTGTCCAAGCACATTAATAGAGAGGCGAAGGGAAGGAAAAGATGTGGTCGAAAAAAGTGTACAAGCAAGAGAGATAACCGCACCCTGGAGAGGATTGTGAAACAAAACCCATTCAAAAATGTGGGGGAGATTCACAAAGAGTGGACTGCAGCTGGAGTGAGTGCTTCAAGAACCACCACACACAGACGTATGAAAGACATGGGTTTCTGCTGTCGCATTCCTTGTGTCAAGCCACTCTTGAACCACAGACAGCGTCAGAAGCGTCTTGCCTGGGCTAAAGAGAAACAGGACTGGACTGCTGGTGAGTGGTCCAAAGTCATGTTCTCTGATGAAAGTAAATTTTGCATTTCCTATGGAAATCAAGGTCCCAGAGTCTGGAGGAAAAGAAGAGAGGCACTTCATCCACGTTGCTTGAAGTCCAGTGTAAAGTTTCCACAGTCAGTGATGGTTTGGGGTGCCATGTCATCTGCTGGTGTTGGTCCATTGTGTTTTCTGAGGTCCAGGGTCAACGCAGCCACATACCAGGAAGTTTTAGAGCACTTCATGCTTCCTGCAGCTGACCAACTTTTTGGAGATGCAGATTTCATTTTCCAACAGGACTTGGCACCTGCACACAGTGCCAAAGCTACCAGTACCTGGTTGAAGGACCATGGTATCCCTGTTCTTAATTGGCCAGCAAACTCTCCTGACCTTAAACCCATAGAAAATCTATGGGGTATTGTGAAGAAGAAGATGCAATACACCAGACCCAACAATTCAGAAGAGCTAAAAGCCACTATTAGAGCAACCTGGGCTATCATAACACCTGAGCAGTGCCACAGACTGATCGACTCCATGCCACGCCGCATTGCTGCAGTAATACAGGCCAAAGGAGGCCCAACTAAATACTGAGTGCTGTACATGCTCATACTTTTCATGTTCATACTTTTCAGTTGGCCAACATTTCTATAAATCCTTTGTTTTTATTGGTCTTCAGTAATATTCTAATTTTCTGATATGATGAATTTGAGATTTTCATTTGTTGTCATTTGTAATCATCAAAATTAAACAAAATAAACATCTGAAATATATGAGTTTGTATGTAATGTATGAATATAATATACAAGTTTCACTTTTTAAATGGAATTACTGAAATCAATCTACTTTTTCATGATATTCTAATTTTATGACCAGCACCTGTATATGAGAGTAATGGGTACTTGTGGCATTAAAATAATTTTTGGAGAATGGAGAATTTTTATAGTGTTCATTATGAGGGTGATGGGGCTTAAATGTAACATTCAAAGCCCAGAATTAAGACTCTCCTTGACCTAAACTTAGTGAAATACAGGCATTTATTGCAGATGTAAATCAACAACATGCATCTCTCATAGATATTAAACTGTTGGTCTGTAGCTTCAGTGCAGGTTTAAATGCTGGTTTAAGGAATTAGAACGTTGTACCAGTTCATAGAGTAATCGCGTAGCTCTAATTTAATTAATACTTGTAGACAAAACTTGAACAGCGTGCAATCCTTCTGCAGCAATAGCTCAGTTGTAACCAGATATGCATTATGTAGCTGGCAGCATCCAGACGGTGGAATCTATTGATTGTTGCAAGGTCACAGGACGAATGTCGTTGGCTGGAAAAGGTAGCACTAAGACTTTTTTTTTTTGGTCAGTCAATTTTTTGACTTGTTGATGTGCAAGTTATTTAATTTTTTCATTGCAGGGACACAAGTTTTAAATCTTCATGTGATAAAACAGATTTATTAACATAAAGACTGACATCGGGATTAATGAAATCTTTAACATGATGTTTTAGATATATCTACGAAATGAAATAAGAAAAGTTTGGGTCTTGTATGTTGGAAATGTGATGCTAGTCCTGCTCTTCTGAATAAAATCTTTGCATTTTCAGCTGGTTACTGCAGAACTGTTGAGAATGGAATGAAACTCTAAAGCAGACAGCCCTCCAGTTCATTGGGGCAGATGAAAACTCCTTGTCTAAAAGTTTTATTCAGCACCTGATATGGTGCCCATTAACAATCTAAAAGCACATCTTCTGTTTGTGTGCCTTAGATGCATAACTGTTTCTGTGGTTTGGAGCCAAAGATTCAGAAGTGTTAAAACAGGACTGATCCATGAGGATTGAAAGCTTGTAAAATATATTCCATTGTTATTTATTAACTATTGCTCAATGTATTTGGACAAATTAGTATAGTTGGTCATTAATTATACCTTTATGTTGCAAAAAATTGTGTGTTCAGAGTTTGAATGAGTGTTAGGCTAAAAGAAACTATTGTCAGATAGTGAGATAAAATGCTGACAACTTTACAGGAGGCTTACCTTAAGCTGTATTGTTCTTGGAAAAAAGTCTCTAACAGGTTGCTGGGAAATCGTTGGTTTATCTTTGCAGACCCGAGCCAAAAATCAAATTAAAGTCTCCATCTTTGTAATCTTCATAAACTCACTTTCCCTCTTACCCCTGCAGGCATGTGTTGACCCAAGCACAAAAGATGAGCTTCAGGTGGTGGAGGTAGAAGGACAGAATTCAGAGGAAGAACAAGTTAAAGCAACACTAGCTTCACTTAAGCCATCTACCCTGCCGAGTGTAAGTAGACATTCTTTTTGTTGGATACATTTTTCCTGTATTTGTTGACTGAATTGGTGGTGGTCAACAGGTGTGCCTTGGTGGGTTCACAATCACACCCCCAGCAGTGTTTCGTCTCAAGGCGGGGTCAGGTCCCGTCCACATCAGTGGACAGCACCTTATCAGTGAGTATTTTTCACATCTGTTCGTTAAAGTAAACGTTACTTGGTCCAGAATGAAATACTTAGTGTAGTATTTAGGAGTTGAAATTGACTCATGGTTATTTACTGAATATTTTCCAAAAGTGATGGGGGGTGATGAGAGTTTTGGTGAAGACAGTGAAGAAGAAGAAGAGGAGGAGGTAGAGGAAGATGTTAAAGTCTCAAAGAAAAGACCCGCCACATCCCCTGCTACAAAGTCCCAGGTAGGTTTCATTTAATAAATGTTCCCAAATGTCTGTTTGAAATTTGCTTTTTAATCAACAAAAACGCATCTGATCTTTACAGAAGAAAAGGAAAATGGAGGAGGAAGAGGAGGATGATGACGAGGAGGATGAGGCTGAAGAGTGAGTATCAAAACTGTTCAGTAATGCCTGACTTTACAAAATCTCCTTTGAGTGGTTTGATCATTTCAAGTGAACTCGGGAATAATTAAGTGGGTTATTTTTGATTAGTCAAGGTCTGGAATATAAGTGTTTTACCATAGCAAGAGGTAAAGACTACCAAGATCGAGATTCAGTGTTTGTTGCAAACAAATATATGTATAAATATATATATTTTTTTGTCTTATTTGTTTTTGTGCAAAACCACTTTAGTTGTTAATCATTGTCTGTCAATTTGTTTTTTTTCCTTAAGGGATGATGATGATGCAGAAGAGGAGAGTGAAGCTGAAGAGTCTCCTGTTAAGGCAAGCAGAGGTTTAGAAGTTGTGTATGTGTGGTGGGGTGGTTAATTGTGCTCATTCTAATATAAGTCTGTTTCTCACAGGCTAAGCCAACCCCAACCAAACAAAAAGGCAAGGCTCAGAACGGCAAGAACTCTGCACCGAGCACACCTGCCTCCAAGCAGGTTAGATGACTCACAAATTATTAAGAGAGTCAACAAGAGCATTGAGCATAATTTTTCCAAGGTTATGGCTAACGTTTGTTTTGTTTTACTGGAGCAGACCCCAAAAGGAAAAGGTGAGAAGACTCCTAAGACTCCAGCAACACCCAAACTGAATCTGACCATCCCAGAGATTAAAGCCAAAATAATGGAGGCCATGAAGAAGGTTGGTGTTTAAAAAAAAAAAAAAAAAAAAGATACTTATTTAAGATTGATTAGATGAGATGACCAGAGAACGAATGTCCCTTTACTGATTGATGCCTTTGGTCTTTTGCCTTTTTTAGGGAGTCTCACTACCTAAAGCCCAACCCAAGTTTGAGAACTTTGTGAAGAATTGCCACAAAGTGACAGACCCCAAGGTAAAACTTATTCACAACTGAAACCATTTTTCCATGAAGTGCACATTATTTAAAGATTTGTTTTACACATAAGAGCCTTTCAAAGCATGAGACAACATGGCGGTGAAGATTCTTAGTCATTCAGGTCATAGTCATTCCAAAAAGGTTAAAAAACAAACCAATGGACTTTGTTTTCCAAGCTTGAAGTTTTGCTTCCCATTCCAAAATATCTGGAGTAGCATTGAGTTCCAGGCTTTATAGAGTAGTTCTTCCCTGGATGGGAAGCAAAAAGTCTTCAAACTTGGGGAAAACAAAGTCCAGTGTTTTTAGGTTTTTTTTTTTTTTTTTGGCATGAAACAAGTTTTACACTTTATGCTATTTGTTGTTTGGGCCACATGGGGGCGCTGTTGCCACATTATTTTATTGATCACATTTAGTCCACAGAGCTCTTGTACAAAGTTTACCCTGGGGTTGTTTCGTGGGTGTGGCTCTTCATGGTGACTTAATTTTGTTTTTCTCTCTAGGTTGTTGCAGAGCTGTGGAAGTGGCGACAGACGGTGAAGGAGGAAAAGTAATTGGCTCTGTAGTTTTAACAATTTTATGAATTATTTTTTCCCCATACCCTCTCTCATGCTCTGTACGTCCAAGTCTTTGCCACAGTTTTCCATGAAGTCACCCTGCCTTCCTGAATGTAGAGATTATGGTGGCGATGAGCTGCTGGCGTGTTGTATCACTTCTCCTTTACATGAATAAACCTGTTTGTTAAATAATCCGGAGTCTTTTCAGAAATTATTTTGGATGAAAATTGCTGCATTGAAAGGACATTTTTATGCATTTTTTGTTTGTAGTTAAGATTTATTTGATCTAAATTAGAAGCTGTAAAAAGCACATTACATCAGACTAGATTGATCATTTGTCGGCTGCAATGTTGTTAAAATATAAGTTCCATCAGCTCATGATCACAATAAGCCAGATTTTTTTTTTCTTTATGTCCAAGTTGTTCGTTTTACCGTCCAATTAACCCCCCCCCCCTTTTTTTTTTTCATTTTTTTTTTAACAAGTTGAATACAATAAAGTGTCCGCTGCATTTCAGCTCAGAGATCCCCTGTCTGCTCTAAAACCGACAGCTCGTAGGCCAAAGGTTGTGTCACTTTAGGTGTTTCATGCCTTAGGGAGTCTGCAAATTGCGTAATCTTTCTTAGAAATTCCCATATTTACTCAAGTTTCAAAGGTGCAAATTTGCCTACTTACACTGAGATTAGGAAAGAATGGGATGACTGGTAAATGAGACCATTCCATGCAGTCACACAGGCATCTGTTTATGGTTATAACCTTTTGCTCTGGATTTGAATGTCTCAGAACTGTTTAAAACCGTAAGGTGTGGCTCTGTTTTCCATTTCTGTTGGGTTGACTGATTTACCCTTGTTAATGGATGTTTGCATTGTTGTAAAGGTCTTTTTTTTCTCTTTCTGAAACAACTTGCTATTAAAAGGAAAAAAGGATTCTGTCTCTTTAGTTACTTTTAAGGTGTGCTTACTGTTTGACATTATTTGCAGTATACCTCTTATGCCAACCTCTGCACTATTAACCCTATCATGCTGTTATTATGAAGACTTTCCCATACCTGCCTTATGTTGGCTGCTGCATGCATTTTCCATAACAGGCCTCATGTAATCCCCTCTAATCTGTTTTTACTATGGTTGGTATTTTCATTATAGCTGTGGTTGAAGAGGTCTGTAATTATTTTAACTAATAGTCATGCCTATGTAAGTCCTCAGTCATCCTATTGTCAACCACAAAAAGGGGTTAAATTCAAGGGAGACCAGACTTTGGCTAATTTCTTTTCTAAAGACGTCTCAACGCCTCGGCCTGTGCCGACTCCTATCAAAGATTTTTAAATAGGTACCGAAAGACCTGTTGCATCCAATTTAAGTCTGCTTTGTGAGAGACCTTATGTTCTTGCAGCTACATATGACAAACTTAAAACATGTAGACTGAATATACTTCATCCTGTTAGCATCTTTTTTATTTTTTAAAGCCTAACTGAAAAATCTCAACCTTCATGAAGAAGTGGTAGCTTTGAACACATATGTATCCCTTGTATTATGATGGTTGTAGTTTTATGAACACTACCAGTTAGGTTTCAGTATAAACTCTTACACAAGAGAGCATTACAACTTTAATGCCTTTGACACCGAACACAGGAAAGTCATAAAAAAAGTTAAGTCATAAGTTTTTCAGAGTGCATAACTAACAGGTTTAAGATCAGGCCTAAAGAACCTTTGAGGCAAAGGCCACAATGATCGCTTATGTGAAATAAGTTGCAGACTGGCTGCTTTTAGTTGTCGATCAAGAACACGCTCCTGGGTTATATCTGGGAAGCCTTTCCCAGTTGACACCCTTGCACCCGTGACTTAAATATGGAGACCATTTGCTGTGACCATCTCTGGTGGTTTTATGTACAAAGGAAACATCCTAACGTTTTAAAGTTCAAAATTCTATGAACAATTGATGTCTTCAGAAATCACTGAGTATGTTTACTTCCATCCTTATACCAGTATAAAGGGCAGCAGGGGCAATTCCAGTTGCGAGGGTGGCATACCTCAACTTAAAGATGTCTTTTGGTTCAACTCACCTCATCACATAATCGGATCATTGAAAACTGCATACTTGGTTCAGCTGTTTGATTTAGGTGTGTTGGACCACAAATGAATGAAAAAGTTGAAGGATCTGGACCTACAGGAACAAATTGCCCAACACATGGAACAAGTGTTTCGACTTATATTTTAGGTTCAGAGTATAGTCTTAATACAACTGCTATTAAAATAAGCACTATTGCACTTTCACTACCTCCTTATACTGAGCCTCATTAGTAATGCAGAATAATTTCCATGTTTTTTGGCTTAAATCAACCATTATTTAATGTCAACATGTTTTATGTTTTAATGTATAACCCAAGCTTAATATAAAAAGATGTAGCTGAATTCCAACGGCTGTTTCTACAGAGTCCTGAACGATTAACACCTGTCAGAAAATACATTTTAACAACCTAAAGTGTGATTTCAGACAGATGTTGAATGCAGTGAAGTAGTTGGCGATATTTGATCCTGATTCACCATTTCCAGTTTCAGCTAGAAGTTATAGAGTATTCTGCATCTCTTGTTTTATATATACACTCAACACATCCTTCATATGAATAAATAACATGTTCTCATTGAATTCTTTATGTGCGAAGTTGAAGGTCCTGACAAATCACACAAAAACATAAATGAAAATCAAATGTATTAACCAATCGAAGCCTGGATTTGGAGTTGCACAGAAATGAAATTAGAAAAGGTCTCTACAGACTGATTGAACTTCAATGTAATATCCTTAACCCTTTATCGCCATTTACATCACATTTGCTACGTAAGTTTTGGTGACCTTATTTTAAACTTCATCAGTATTTACCCTAACATCCTGTTGCATACAACTTAAGACGTATTCTGCCCTCTGTTTGATTACTATTGCAAGCAGTGAAACACCCTTTTTTTCTCTTTTCAAATGTCTACTGATCCCATGAGATCAGTCACGTTTTTGCAGGAAAGTTTTTACACTTTTTAAGGAAGTTAGAGGTTATAGTATATTGACCTGTTATTTATACTTATTTTTAGATACATGTAGATAACTCCCATCTGTGGACGTCGGGCCCTCATACCATCCTTATGGAGTCGACTTCTAACCGTTTGTGCAGACGCATAACATTTGCGGCCCTCTAGAGGTAATTTTGCAGGGCTCTGGCAGTGTTCCTCCCGTTCCTCCTTGCACAAAGGCGGAGTTAGCAGTTAACTACTTCTGCTAGCAGCTAGAAGTAGTAGTTAACAGTGCATTGTTGTCCTCCTATGACCTCCTGATGTACTGTCCGTTCTCCTGGTAGCACCTCCAGCTTCTGGACACTAATCTGACAGACATAGCAAACCTTCTTGCCACAGCTCTCATTGATGTGCCATCCTGGATGAGCTGGACTAACTGAGCCACTTGTGTGGGTTGTAGAGTCTGTCTCATGCTACCACGAGTGTGAAAGCACCACCAGCATATAAGTAATCAAAACATCAGCCAGAAGGCATAAGTCCTGAGAAGTTAGATGTCATCCCCACCTACAGAACCACTCCTTGAGTGTTTCTTGCTTATTGCCAATAATTTCCACCTGTTGTCTTTTCCATTTACACTAAGGCATTTGAAATTGTCAAGTGTTGCTTCACAAGTGGACAGTTTGCTTTAGCAGAAATAGATAAACTGAAGTTACTTGTTCCCTTTATTTATTTCAGCAGTGCATGTATATTTTTTTTATTATAGCTAAAACTAATTTGATTGAACAAGTCAGCTGTTTTTACAGCGTAGCTTTTGTTCAATGATTGTATTTAGTATTACATGGTAAACAGATAAAGCCACAGTTATTTTGCTCTGTGTTGTAACATCCGAGTATCAGTGAGGCCAAATTACCTAAAGAGACAGATGAAAAAAATCAAACTAATCTAAAACAATGACATGAGTTATATTAGTTTTGGCCACTTTTCATAAGACTATTAAAACTTGTCTGCTAAAAGGGTTGAACTACGGTCCTGTATGTCAAACTTGCTGATATAGGGTGTAAAAGCTGTTTTTCTGACCCTTGGTCATGTTTTTTTTTTATAGTTTTTTGTACAACCATCTGACCAATGAAAATACAGTAAGATGTTTTATGGAAATGCAGTTAGTCATTACAAAGACTGCTGAAAGATCTACTTAATTCAGGTTTAACAAGGTCTTTATGAGGAAGTGCTCTTGATAATTTCAGTCACTAAAAGCTGATACTGCCTTGCGATGAGAAAGATAAACATGTGCTCCAATGATTCAGAAAATTTCCCCATAATATAATCCAAGAGCTGTTGCAATATAGTTTCCCTTCAGGAGCACTCCACTACTGGAAATGGATAATATAGGCCATGGTGTGACTGTCTTACTCTGCTGATTGGAGGAAACTACAGACAAGGCAGAAATTGATGCATAAGCTAATTTCTGAAAAGAGACTAAATTACAGCACAGGAGTAAATCAATTAAAGATGTTCACTACATCATAGATTGGATATTGAACTTTCAAAAAGTGGAGCACTGTGGTCAAAGGGTTTCACCAATTTATTTTAATGTTACGGCCAGTAATAGAGACTAATCACTACTCTGATAGCTAGAACAAGGACAGATTGTACAAACTAGAGCAAGGAAATGCATGAACCAGAGAAACACTCTTTAGATGGACTCATGACCTGAAACCGTACTGGGTGTGAATCTAATATCCCGTTACCTTCTAGGAATATGCCCTTGATAATTCTTAGAAAGCATTACAGCTACACTGTAGATTTGCTGTCATAAACTGGGCTAAATATTTATGGGTTTTATACAGTGCACCATTTATGCAGATCACAAGATGGTGCTATAAGCAAACAAATTTACAGAGAAAACTGCTGGATTGACATAAAGGGAGACTTCCTGCCACAGGAGAAAATCTCATTGGAGCCCATTTAAAGCTATGGTGTTAAGGGAACACTCATTACATTATAGTCCTACCTTTTATGGGTTTTAAAAGTGAGGACTTCTAAAAAGAAACACATTTGTCATGCAATTCCCATCTAGTGGATCAGACGGAAAAATATTACGCAAGTTGAGATATTTCAAGTTTTTTTTTTTTTACTTTATTTACAACATAAAAACTTTAAAAAGATTACAAAAAAAAAAAAACAAGTACAAGCCATCCACTCAAGAAGACTGAACCATGAGCACAAAAGTTTCCATGTTTCACAACAAATTGGCAATACAGGTACAATGAGTCTGATGTGTTTTTATTAAAATCTCAACTAATGCATATAAAACGATCAAGAATTACTGATCTAAAAAAAAAAAAAAAAAGAAACACCTTACTGAAGAATAGCTGTTGCCCAACAGTCTATTCAAATGTACTGCATATTAAAAGTACTGCCTTTAATAAGCCTCTCCATAACTTAATGCTTTAAATCTGTCAACATATACACAAGGTACACGTAAAGCACAGACTGCAGTTTTAAACAGGGCAAGACCAGTATACTCTGAAGTGAACAGCCGGCTTATAAAAAAAAAGACAAACCTTCAGAGTTTGATCAAATAAAGTAACATTAAGGTAGTCCTGCAGAAACTAAAAGGCAATATAATAAAAAGCTGTTAATCAATATGTTTTTGTATTTTTCCAGATGGATTCAGGGTGAATATTAAAATGTTCCTTCACACAGTAACAGTTTCTTCTGTTCAAACATAATCTCTGTTGCTGCTTGTGGCCCTACTTGTCATGGGATACTTTGGAGACATTTTTTCCGATTTTGGGCATGATGCTGCCAACATAGCACCTCCGATTATAGCCAAAAAGCATCCAGCCCAGGCGATGAAGATGGCAGAGCCAAACTCATACCTTCAGGAAGAGGAAGAGAAAGGTTATTAATTTTTCCTCCTTTTTTTGTGCCAGTAAAAGACAATTTGCGACCTAAAGACCTAAGCAGCTCACCTTGTGTTGACAGGAGTGAAAGGATCATAGAAAGCTCGGACAATGTCGTGAGCATACCAGGAACAGGCGACCATGCTACACAAAGCTGAGGGAGAAAACAAGATTTGTTTACAAGTTTTGCTTTATTGACATTAGGCTTAGAAAAAAATAAGATAAATCAATGTTTTAGATAATGGAAAGTCTTACCTCCAATCAAGATAATGATGCCACCAATCATAGCGGTGCGCGCCTTCTTGCTCTTGTCATCTCCACCACAGTTTGTGCATTTCATTCCCATAGTGGATGCACCCAGCCCAGCTAGGACAACAATTATGCTCACAATCATGAGAGCTCGTGCTGCTTGAAGGGCACCTAGTTCAAAAAGAATAAAATAAGTCTGTTAGTTCATCCGTTGGTGTCAAAGCCAACACTTATTGACAAGGGTGTGGTGCAAACAAAGTAATGAGATTGTTGTAGGGGGAGTGGGCTACAGTTCCTACAATTATACTGTTCAGGAAAGGGTAGAGTAAAACTCATTTGGGATGGTAAGGTTTTCAGCCTTTGCCGCAACGGCAGCAACAACAGAAACTGGCTGAAGGCGGAAACTATTTGAAAATCAAGAGGGGAGGGGGGGGATTGAGCGGGTGTGCATGCGTGAGACTCTGAAAACAGGTCTGACCAGGTTTCAGATTTCTTTACAAGGAAGGCACTCCCAGTTCCAGCTACACAGCCTTCTTTTGAGCAAATTTTCATCTCTGCAGGTGTCTGGAAACAGCGTTTCTACATCAAGATTTATTCTTTATTTCTTACAACCAACTAAAATGTAAAACTGTTGCTTTTCATTTTAGAAGGGGCGACGGAGTCACATTATCACACTTTTAAGACAAAGAAAAAAGGAAGTAGTTGACATAGTTAAAATAAATTGTTTAAACAGGCCTTTAAGTAGGTTTTTACCATTTGGGCAAGTGTCCTACAGGATCTATTAACTAAAAAAAGAGTTTGCCCATACAGTTAACCTTTAACTAAATCTGCTGTGTAAAGCCATTATGATTTCCTCCCAAGGTGGGTGGGTGGGGGAGGAAGAGGCTCACAGGACAATAATGCCCTGAAGGACAATCACTGTCAAGGCCACTGTGCACAACTTCCTGCTTTTTGAATGAAAAATTTATTTCAAACAGATTTCTAGAAACAATTCCCCTCCACAGCAGGAGCTATGTGAACCAAACAACTAAACATTCCTAAAAAAACAAAACTTATTCAAAAGGGTAACCAGTTTGTCAGGGCCTCAAAAGCCAACAGGGAAGCACTGCAGGCAACAAACTGAACAAATGACAAAGCAGCGGGGGGAAGGGAGGTGCAACAGGTGCATTGTTAGGAAAGGAAGAAGACCTTTCATGAGCAAAAGTAAAAGGAAGGGTGAGGTTAAACATCAAGGGAAGTAATCATCAAAACCACCTTTATCATCTACCAACAGCAGTTTTCATATGATTTAAAGGGTGCATAATATATTTAGACCAATTGATCTAGAATCCCTCTTTAGAATGCATATATTGTGAATAAACTCAGTATAAATAAATAGAATTGGACTTACTGTTGAGCTCCAGCATAGAGTCGTAGACTTTGCACTGGATCTGGCCTGTGCTCTGAAACGCGCAGGACATCCACAGTCCTTCATACATGGACACCGCTGTGATGATGTTAGAGCCTACAAAAGCGGACATCTTCCACTGAGGCAGAATGGTGCCAATTATCAATCCAATGACACCCAGGAGAGCCAGAGCGAAGCCCAGCATCTGTAGACTCGAGTTGGCCATCTCGTTTTTCTCTTTTTTTTATCTCCCACCGGCTTTAAATGAACAACAGCAACAACAAAAAAAACGATTTCCACCTGCTGCGAAACTGAATTTACTCCTTTAAAACCCAGCAAATTAAATCTGACGCTTCTTTACAAAGTTAGGTCCTTCTTTGATTAATATTTAAAATGTCCTTTGCGTTTTGAAAGCTGAATAATAGCACAAAGTTTGAAAAGTCTCTCCGTCGTTGCGCACCTGTTCCTCTGCCGCACCTTGACTGGGGAGTGGACACCGGGAGCGAGCTTTTTTAGGCGGTTTCTAGAGCAGGTGGGCGGGGACGCGCACGCAGTTTCGACCCATCAGCGTAAAGAGCGCACACCTGAAGTTTCGTGACGTAGCGTTTCCGTTGAACAGACCTCCGACTAAACTGTACATAGTTGCATGTTTTTCAAACAGAAAGTCTGAAACAAAACAGTCAAATAAAACTTCCATTTTTTATTTATACAGGATACTGACCTCTGAAAATGACATAAAATTTAATATTAAAACATTTTTCGTGGTGAACTATTTTTTCAATGTTATTAAGAAAAATAATCAATGGAATATATTTGTTTTAATATTCAATTAAATAATGGAAGAATGTTACTGTAATTAGTAAGCTGAATCTTGATAATTTAACAAGCAACATTTACACATGACCCTAAAGCAGAAACCACAGGAAGCCTTGATGTAAATAAATACTAGAGCCAAAATGATCATAATAGCCATATTCTATTGCATTGATTTACATTCTTTATTTCTGCTGTTGTGACGTGTACGTGTGTAAATAAATAAGCTATAATTATAATAATTATTAAAAGAGGCTTTGTTCTTTAGATTACTCTTTTTTTGGATTGCAAAACAACTAGGGTTTTCAATTACTTGTCTTAAGAAAAAAAAATCATATCAAAAGTCAATCCTAAATGTGTTTTTTTTTTTCTAAAAAAAAAATGTAACTTCTCAACTTTTATTGTTTTGTAATTTAACATCTCATGATAACTTAAGCAAGTGAATTTCAAACATCAATTTTACTTTAATGTCTGCCTGTTAAAAGTATTAAAAAGACTAGAAAAAAGGTGTATGACCAAATATTACAAATGTGACTAAAATTATTAGTGTATCTATTTTATTATTATTGGGATAAACTTTGCTTTTAAGCAAGATCCAAAAAGTTTCATCAGGGAAGAAGATATTACTTTAGTGAGAACATTTTGATGTTTTTATTTAATCCTATATACATTTTTTTAAAGCCAGTTTGGATGTTCTTTGTGATCTTTTTTTTTGTTTATCATAAATGTGTTACCAAGTATCTGACCATAACTGGTCAGTGGTTGACTTAGATCCAGCTCAGCTTTAATGACCCAGCCTGCTCTCTGAGTTACAGATTCTGTAGAGCAGCAACACTGTTCATAGCAATATTGTGAACCAGATAGCAACACAGCTGTAGCTTTTATTGTAGCCCCACCACTGGCCTTCCCAGCTAAAGAATTGTAATCTAATCCTATAAAGAGCACATTATGCATACTGATGATACTTAAAAGTTGTAACATTTTAAAAGATATATATAAAAAAAACACAATAATTTTTTTAAGCAATAAGGACTTTCTATAAATAGCTACGGAATGAAGACAGACTTTACTATTGATTAAATAAAAAGCATTTCGCTAAGGATCATCAAGCTTTTGGGATATTTAGAAACTTAATCTGAATTGTTGATCAATTTACTGAACACAATTTTTTTTACTCAGAGATCCTAAACTTTAATTTCAGAAATTTATGATAAAAAAATAATTCTCTTGAATCATAGTAAGATCCTGAAAACAAACTTTATTACAAGCTTTCCAAACCTTCAGCCTTAATATTTCAGAGTTAAGAAATATATACATATGATAGTGTTTATGTTTTTCTTTGAGTAAAACTATATCTGTTTAATTGGTTAGTTATTTGATTAATTAATTTATATCAAGTAAAATATTGCACATATTGTTCAGAAATATAAATGAATAAATACTTTATGGACCATTTGTGATGAATTACTTATTTATTAATTAGACATATTTATTTTTAATACTGCATTTTTAACAACCCAGTGGAATGTAAAAAAAAAATGTGGCAACAGTTTAAAAACTTATTCTTAGATTTAGACAAACTTTATTGTCATTATGTTCACACACAGTGTATACAAAACTAAATTTGTTTCAGTACAGCTCTGAGGTAATTTTAATTTCTAAAGTGCAGCAGTGATAAAAATGTAAACATGGTAATCAAATGTAAAAATAAGACCGGTATATGATTTACATGTGATTTTGTCTACATGTATAATTGCCCGGAATGCAGATATGTGATTGAGGAACTTCTAAAGTGTTAAGACACTTTAGGGAAAAACTGATTGAATGTTCACTGAACTAGGGGCCAGATATTTTTCCAGTTAGACACTATCAGAGAGGGAACCTACTGTTTTACATTAGCTTTAAGCTCAGGTAACGTCCATCTGCTCCCTGTTTTTTTTTAATGATGACTGCAGTGACGCTTATTGAACCTCCACCTCATATCATGCTGGCTGATAGATAATTAGCTGAATCTTACAGTCGGTTCACCTCTTCCTGTTCCTGTGTGCAAAGACGCATCAAACTGACTCTGTGGTTGGCACTGTGGCTGCTATAAAATCAAACATTTTCGTTTACTAAGCAAGGCAGGTCGGCATCCATGGAAGAAACCGTCTTTCTGCACATTAAAGATGGACAAACTTCCCTTTCATTGTTATGGTGTAGTGGGTAGCAATCATATGAAATAAAATAAATATAAATCTAATAGCAGAAGTTGATATTGTATTTTGTAATTATTTCCTTTTTAAACATGCATGAATATCTAAAGGGTGCTGTTAGAGGTGTAGGCAACCAGCAGGGCACCTCGTGGGCACTGCCCTTTGCCGGTTTGGAGCCCCAGGCTTTTTCCTACCTTGTCTGTATGATAAGTCCGTCACTGCCCTGAATGGAGGGAAGTAAACATGTCCCGGAACAGCTCAGCAGATTAACAACCAAGTCTTCCTGGACATAAATCAACAAGCCACTGTCTTTCGTAGTGAAAACTTGCATTTACACATTTGCAGAAGCCTAATCCTGACTGAGAACAGTTTTATAATCAGATAAATTAAAGAGTGAGCTGTTTGACCAAATATGTCAAGTCAGTGCAAGACTTTTTCACCAAAGATTATAGCAGCAACTCTGAAGCATAGTGGTGGAAGCATTAAGCTGCAGTAATGTTTTGCTACCAGTGGCGATGATGTATTATTTATTAAATAATGAAGGATGATAACTACTTCAAGATTTTTGGACTTTAAAATCAGCAGGTACATGTTAACAAATTATGCACACCTAGTGTTATACTAGTAGCCCAAAACACACATAGAAATTTAAAATAAAAACAAAAACAAGTAAAAACAAACAATCAAACACAAAAACAGAACAATAAGAAATAAAAATAAAGCTAATTGAATTGTCCTGACTTTGGCCTATTTGAATGTATAGACAAAAAGCAAACGGAAGCCAGGCTCCCACTAGTAAAGAAACTCATTTATATTAACAATATTATATCAATTAACTCAATCCATCAATAAAACACATCACATTTCTGATGGAAATCATGAAAAATATATATTTAACTTTAGACTTAAGCCTGTTTGGTAGTTACTTTATGGCAGTGGGGACCTTTTCTGATCAGCTCACTAATCCCTCACATAAGGGAACACTGTTTAACTTCCCCTTTAGAGAATTCTCTGCAATTTTGCTTTAAATGCAAATGAAGCAGAAGCGAGAACAAAACAGAACTTCACTCTGTAAATCATTGCTGTGAGTCCTCATTTTTTTAGTCAGTTATGGAGAAGTTTACGGCAGGGCGAGTTTACGAGACAATAACCTAACCATTGCTTTGTTCTATCAAACATATGTATGACTTACCTTTAAAAAAGTTCCCTTTGTTTCACATTTAACAATTAGTATTTGCTTACCCATCAGTATAATTGGAATCAGGTATTCCGATCACTTTCATGACCACAGGTGCATAAAATCAAGCAGCTCAACAGGCCAACTGTTTTTACAAACCTTTGTGAAAGAAGGGGTGGCTCTCAGGAGCTCTGTGTTAGGAGGCCACCTGTGCCACAAATCCAGTTATAAAATACCTCACTTCTGAATAGTTAACAGTTAGCTGTATCCTAAGTAAATGGAAGTGTTTGGGAATGACAGCAACTAAGCCACGAATTAGTAGGCCACGTAAACTGATGCGGCGGGGCCAGCGGATGCTAATGTGAAGAGGCCCCCAACTTTCTGCAGAGTCGATCATTAGATATCTCCAAATATGACCAAAGAGCTTCATGGAGTTGGTTTCCATGGTCAAACAGCTGCATCCAAGTCGTACATCACCAAGAACTATGCAAATACATCAGATGCAGTGGGGTAAAGCATGTTGCCACTGGATTCCAGAGCAGTGGAAGACCTGTTCTCTGGAATGACAGATCATGTTTCTCCATCTGGTAATCTGATGGACAAGTCTGGGTTTGGTGGTTGCCAGGAGAATGGTTCTTGTCTGGCTCCATTGTGCAAAGTGTAAAGTTTGGTGGAGGGGGGTTTTTATGGTGTGGGATTGTTTTTCAGGAGCTGGGCTTGGCCTCTTAGTTCCAGTAAAAGGAGCTCTGAAGACTTTAGCTTATCTAGACATTTTGGACAATTCCATGCCCTCAACTTTGTGGAAACAGTTTGGAACTGGCCAGTTCCTCTTCCAACATGACTGTGCACCAGAGTACAAAGCAAGGCCCTAAAACATGTGGATGGCAGAGGCCGGTGTGGATAAACCTGACTGGTCAGCACAGAGTCCTGATCTTAACCTGATTGAACACTTTTGGGATAAATTAGAGAGAAGCCTGAGAGAAAGGCCTTCTCGTCCAACATCAGTGTGTGACCTCACTAATGCGCTTCTGGAAGAATGGTCTAAAATTCCCAAAAGCACTTCTAAACCTTATGGAAAGCCTTCCGAGAAAACTAAAACTGTTCTAGTTGCAAAGAGTGGACTTAGAGTGTATAGAACCCCATGGATTGGGACTGAGATGCCACTTAAACTCATATGTGAATGACAGAAAGTAAGTTAACATTTTTGGCAATATAGTGGATGTCCTGTTGGTGATAAAAATACACTGAATTGTAGAGTTGTATTATGATAAAATGTGGAAAAAACAATTAGGATATTTAAATGACTTTT